ACGGAATAAAATTAATCAAAATAAAAAATTGAAATTATTTTTCATATTACGATAACTTCGCTTTTCAGGATGTTTGAAATCACTCAAAATAAGATCGAAACTAAAAATTTGTAGCATGATAGGTTCATACAAATTCATAAGTGATAAATAAATTAACAATGAATTTCAATGTTGAGTAGTCATCCTATTTCCAAAATTTAAAGATGAATGTCGTGTAACATGTCATATTTTCACTCAAAATTATATATAAACTTCAAATATCCACCTAAGCACGTTCAATATAAATTAAAAATGGAATAAACAGATTAATAATGAAATTTCAATATTGCATAACACATCCTATTTTTAGAATTGAAAATGAACATCTACTTATATCAATATTTGAAGAGAAAATATTATTCATCGTCCACCCAAAAGTAGTCGTAAGCTTTTGTAAGTGAAAGAATAGTTTTAACTTAAATAATTTGAGAAAATAAAATATTCGAATCAATGAACTTAGTTGATCTTTTCAGGATGTTTGAAATCACTCAAAATAATATCGAAACTAAAAATTTGTAGCATGATAGGTTCATACAAATTCATAAGTGATAAATAAATTAACAATGAATTTCAATGTTGAGTAGTCATCCTATTTCAAAAATTTAAAGATGAATGTCGTGTAACATGTCATATTTTCACTCAAAATTATATATAAACTTCAAATATTCACCTAAGCACGTTCAATATAAATTAAAAATGGAATAAACAGATTAATAATGAAATTTCAATATTGCATAACACATCCTATTTTTAGAATTGAAAATGAACATATACTTATATCAATATTTGAAGAAAAAATATTATTCATCGTCCACCCAAAAGTAGTCGTAAGCTTTTGTAAGTGAAAGAATAGTTTTAACTTAAATAATTTGAGAAAATAAAATATTCGAATCAATGAACTTAGTTGATCTTTTCAGGATGTTTGAAATCACTCAAAATAATATCGAAACTAAAAATTTGTAGCATGATAGGTTCATACAAATTCATAAGTGATAAATAAATTAACAATGGATTTCAATGTTGAGTAGTCATCCTATTTCCAAAATTTAAAGATGAATGTCGTGTAACATGTCATATTTTCGCTCAAAATTATATATAAACTTCAAATATTCACCTTAGCACGTTCAATATAAATTAAAAATGGAATAAACAGATTAATAATGAAATTTCAATATTGCATAACACATCCTATTTTTAGAATTGAAAATGAACATCTAGTTATATCAATATTTGGAGAGAAAATATTATTCATCATCCACCCAAAAGTAGTCGTAAGCTTTTGTTAGTATAAGAATAGTTTTAACTTAAATAATTTGATAAAATAAAATATTCGAATCAAAGAACTTAGTTGATCTTTTAATGACTTAAAAGGTCATACTATAAATTAAAAAAAAATCCAGGCAGCAAGGATTAAACACTTGACTTGGGTTATTACATATAAGAACCCCATTCGCTGGACTGACTTAGTAATGATATGTATTTCATTCACATTAAGCAATTTTTAACCTTTTGTTTAGTTTATATAAAATTTTCAAAATATCGTCGAGTCTACACGTAACGTCAGAAATTCTGGGGGAGCCCCCCCCCCCCCCCTCTCTAAGCAGTTGTAGCTCCGCCCCTGCCGGCAGGCCTCCGATGACGGAGGAGCCAAATCCGGTCGACCGCATTTGATTAAGGTAATTGTGGTACCGGTAAGTTTCAGAAACGGTAATTTTCAAATTAATTTCTAAATTATCTTCAATTTCTTCCTTAATAATATTCATCGCTATATATAAATTTCAATAGTTTTTCTCTACGATAAGAATAATCTCTCTTAATAATTTAATTAAATTCTTATTTATGATGTCATTCTTTGTTATTCCATTAGCCTTTATTATTCCCCAATCTCCGCCTTGGTTTTCGCTGATGTAAGTATAATTACTCTCAAAAAATAAATTTCTTCCTAATTTTAATGTCTAGCTTTATTGATGTTCAATTAGCTACGTCTTCATAAGTAGATTTAATTTAAACAATTTATGTACTTCCCTATTTATGCAAATTAGCTTTTAATTTCTCCTCTTAATAATATTGACAACCTTTAATATTTGCTTATTCTTCATTTTATTTGTAATTTGTTTTTTTGTATTTAAAGTATGCTTTAAATTATTTTGGACAATCGTCATTATTGATTAATGTACAACACTTACAAGAGGTTAATAATACCGTGGTGGTGTTTTTTTTCGATAAGATCGACTTTGCCTCAAAGGCAAGATTTAATCTCTAGTGTTAGAGATTTCTAGCACCATAGTCGTGCATTTTTATTAGTGATTTTGTAGGTGCCCATATGGTATGAAAACAATTGAAGAATGTGAAATAAGTTCCATAGATATATCTATCAGGTAATAGTTCGATTTTATTCGCTTCTTCAAATTTATGAGATTAATTAAGCATGTTCGGTCAAAGATTGCTAATGCTTTTTTCATTTCTTTCTTTGTTGTGGTTTTTGTGGTATCTCGACACTGGTCATCCGACACACTTCGTCCAAGGAAACTACACTCACTGGCGGGACCATCTTGGAGATGTTGGGTTGTTATTTTTGTTTTTTTTTTTTCGCGATTGATGTGTCTTTGCTCCTCGGAGCTTCTTCAGAGTTGCCCAAGTAGTGGCTTAACAGGTTCTTTCATCGATAGTCTGGTTGCATACAGACTATCGTGCAATATTCGAGTCGGTCTTGTATTAGTGTCCAGTCTTTATCCACGCCCTTTGGGCTTGTCTTGGAAAAAAAAAAGTAAGATACGAATATGTAAAGCAAGCACCGTGATACAGTTCGAACACTTAGCCAAATTCAACCTTTCTTCCTTCCAACATTGATGGATCCTTTGGCAATCAATTCGAGCTTGAACAAGAGGCTAAATAGGATCATATCACAAGCAAGCAAGGTGGCAAGAATTTTTGGCTGAATTCGACTTCATGGTGGAGTACAATCCCAGAAAGGCGAACTCCGTTGCAGATGCTTTTAGCCGCAAGAGTGCAGCCGCAAGCATCAGCCAACCCGTGTTTCCTTTGAAGGAGCGGACCTCGAAGGCCTTGACCATGACCCCTTCGCCAAAACCATGGCCGAGTAAATCAAGCAAGGGAAGACTCGACGGTTTTGGATGAAGGATGGGCTCATCATGACCAAGGGGGAGCGCGTGTTCGTGCCAAGTTGGGCCAACTTGAGGAAGGAGATCATGAAGGAGTGCCATGATTCCAAGTGAGCCGGCCATCCCGGCGTCGAGAGAACGCAAGCGCTCATCGAAGAAGCATACTTCTGGCCGCGTATGAGAGACGACGTGAAGATGTATGTGAAGACTTGTTTTGTGTGCCAACAAGACAAGATGGAGCACAGAAATCCGACAGGCTTGCTAGAGCCATTGCCCACACCTCAACGACCATGGGAGAGTGTAAGCATGGACTTCATCGTCAGCCTTCCCAAAGTCGAAGGATATTATTGCATCATGGTTGTAGTGGACAGGTTCTCGAAATATGGCGTGTTCATTCTGGGGCCGAAAGACAAGACGGCGGAGGATGCGACACGACTATTCTTCAAGAATGTGGTCAAGTGTTGGGGCATTCCTAGCAACATAGCGAGTGACAGAGATGGGCGCTTCAAGGGCCGATTTTGGCGGGAGTTGTTCAAGATCATGGGCTCTGGCTTGAACTTCTCGACGATATTTCATCCACAAAGTGACGGGCAGACTAAGCGCGTGAATGCCTTGCAGGAGGTGTACTTGGGGCACTACGTGAGTGCAAACCAACGCAATTTGGTGAAGTTGATGGACACAACACACTTCTCCTACAACTTGCACCGCAGCGAGTCGACCAATACGAGCCCATTCGAGTTGGCGACGGGACAGCAGCCGTTGACACCTACGACGGTGGCAACAGGGTATATAAGCAACAATCCGGCAGTAGACAAATTCGCAAAAGTCTTACTTAGCCGACGCTAGTAAGAAGATGAAGAAGTGGACGGACAAGAAGAGGCGACACTTGGAGTTTGAAGAGGGAGACATGGTGATGGTGAAGTTCTACTCTCACCGCTTCAAGCATCTCAGGAATGTGAACAAGGGACTTCTTCACCGCTATGAAGGGCCATTTAACATCGTGAAGAGGATTGGCAAGGTGGCGTACAAGGTGGAGATGCCGTCGCATTTGGAGATCCATCCAGTCTTTCATGTGAGCCAACTCAAAGCTTTCAACGAAGACAAGGAGGATGAGAGGCGGAAGGAGTCACATCGCGCACCAACACTCGTCACCAAGACACACGACCATGAAGTCGAAGAGATCATGGCGCGTCGTGTCATTCCTCATCGTGGTGTTCATCCAAGCTATGCGGAGTACTTGGTCAAGTGGCGCAACCTTCCAGAGAGCGAGGCGAGTTGGGAGAATGAGCTCTCGCTTTGGAATCACAAGGACTTGATCGAGGCTTTTTGACAAGAGGACTCAACGAGGGAGTGCGAGCATAGGTGGAGGAGGATGTTACATGTGGCATATGACATGACTCAAACAAAGGACAACATGACGGCTGCACATGTGGCGTGTATGGAAGACTAGAAGCATAGAGATGCCTCCAGGATTCTCCACCTAAATGAGAGCTTAATGGTGCACTTATGAGTCACATAATGGGTAAAATCATCTTCTTTGTCTTTCTTGCTTTCTTTGGTTGCTTGTGAATTTGAGAGAAGGCTGCTTAGTTCTCAAACAGAATTGAGAGCTAAGGCCACACGACCGAGAATAAGGCCGTGACAGTACCAGGCGGGTCGGGCAGGGCTGTCATCCTTAAAAATAAGTGGGAAAAGAGAATGTAATATATTTCATTCAAGTAGAGGAAGGTAATGGGGACAACTGTCGAGACTACTCCTCACTATGGCATCTATCCAACTCTGTTGTCGGGGAAGATAGCTCATTCAATGAGTGAAAGCCAATATCACCTTCTAGTGCGCCTAGGTCTCGATGGTGAGATCAGGCTTGGTGTTGAGCGTAACGCCGAGCATGACGATGGTTAGAAAGCTGGTGAGGTAGCAAAGAGCTCCCAGTCCTCCTACTTGCGTGAATGCCCTGACGGCGGTGGAGTTCGGTTGAATAGGTAACTCGTAGGCCGCTCCGCAATAATTGTGCATCTCGTTGCAATAACGAGAACAAGCTCTGGGATTGTTCATTTGCTCTGGTTCTTCTTTGTTTTTGTCGTCCGCGAGCAGCTTCTCAGATCCGGTACCCCAAATTTGTGGCGCTCATACCCCGTCGTGGGCTTTAAAGATGAGCCTCAATTTCGAAACCCCAAATCTCTTCTTCTTGTGATTTTGATTTTTTCAATTAGCTTGGAGAAAACTTGATGGAGAGAAGCTCTGGGGAAAGAAGACCTGGAATTCACTTCCTAATTATCTGATTTAATTCGTTAATTAATTTTAATTCTCATTCAAATGACCGAAGTTATCTCTAAGGTGATAGTTATATCTTTGAAGAATCACTACGTACTAGCTAGCCAATTAATCGTTTACTCTCGTACAACCAATTAATTAACTACCTAGCCTGAAGTCCGATAACTCATCTAATGATCACACAACTCCCGCTTCCCACTCTCGTGCTCAATTGGGTGTTCTGACGTATCTAAGAGTGTACCATTCTAGATATCACCTCTCGGTCTCAACCTAGAACAACAAATCAATATGTAGGTGACCAGTTTACACAAAGCATTAAGAATCCACACACAATATAAATGAGAACGACAAATAATCCGAATTAAATCATAGAAATCCGATAGCTACTTCATACGGTCTTCTCCCAGAAATGAGGATTTAGTTCATCGTCATAGAAAACAAACTAAGAAATAATTATTGATTCAACATCTTAGAATTAAAAAAAATAGAAAAAAGAATTACAAATAAAGTAATCCGTTTCTCTAACCCGAACTCGAGATGATCTCTTAAAGCTACTGCTTCTCTTTTTTTTTTTTTTTGCCAGAGATATTCCGGAAGGAATAGCAAGATACAAATATATACAAGACCAAAGAGGTCAGGCAAAGGAAAAAAGAACAATACGATGGTCAACAAGATGTGGAACCATAGATGAAAGGGCATGTTTTGCCACGGTATGGGCAGCCCTATTATACCTACAAGGAGCGAAATGAAACGAAACACGCGCGAGAGATGTTCGCAGCACCTGAACCTCTTTCAGAATGGCACCCCCCAAAGCGTGAGACGAGTCATTCGCAGCAATCATCCGGATAACAACCTGCGCATCACCACAAAACAGGACGTTAGTAATCGAATGGGAAAGGCACCACCGCATGTCATCTCGAAGCGCCATTAGTTCAATGAGGAAAGGGTGATCGAAAGCTGTATAAAACCGGCCAAGAGCAAAGGAGATAGCCCTCTGAGAAGATAGTCCCACAAAGCCGATGGCCCCGCCGACCAATGCCTTTGTCGCCCCATCAAAGTGAACCAGCATGAAACCTTCTGGAATGGGTGGGGGGATTGTGTTGGGTGAAGGAGGTGCTCTCGATTGACCATGCCTACGCCGAGCCGTGGTAGTTTCCTGAGCGACACTCCATTCCGACATCTGACTGTTTAGTTGTCGCAATAGTGAGGTTGGGAGAAATTGGATGTAATCATAGGTTGTTGAGCATCTCCCTTTCTAGATTCGCCAATAAAGGAAAACGAGAGAAGAGAGATCAGAAGCACCTAACCCTGCATCCAATAACAAATATCTCCATCCAATGGCAATATGCAGTGAGCTAATTTGTAGAAGGATGTGATTATAGCCTGCCAGTCCCCACAAGTTAGTAGCTATTCTGCATTCTAAAAAACAGTGAGATTAAATTTCCACGGGATGAGAACAGATTGGACACAATAAGCGCTCTAAGTCTTCTTCCTCTATGATTCCTCTATCTCTCAAGGCATCTTTAACAGGCAGAAAACCTTTAACTAATCTCCAAATGAATATTCTTAACTTTGGCGGAACTGAGAGAGCCCAGAGTGCTTTCCAGGCTGAAGAATCAAAGATGACAGGGGTGGTTGACAGATTCTTAACAAAGTCAGTAGCAACAATGTGGTATCCAGATTTGACAGAGTACTCACCTGAGGTTTCATAATGCCAAACCAGTTTGTCTGCCATGGGAAGGTGAGGAAGTGGGATACTGAGAATTATCTTGGTAGTGGCAGCATCAAAGAGACTTTGAAGAAGGTCAGTTCGCCATGTCCCATTGGAATGATCAATCAATGAATTTACCTGAGTTGAGGACAGAGAGGCTTGCGACAGCAGTTTCGGACTAGATGGTGGAGTGGTGGGCATCCAGTTATCATCAAGAATATGGACTACAGTGTCAGAGCCAATAGTCCATCAAAACCCCTGCAGCAATAAGTCACAACCAACCAAAATCCCTTGCCAAGCCCAAGAAGGCCGAGTACCAGGAGTAGCCTGCAAAAACAGAACTTGAGGAAAATATTTAGCTTTGTACATGACAACAATAGGACAATCTGGGTTCTGCAGAATACGCCAAGCTTGTTTGGCTAGCATGGCTTTATTATTACTGTCAAAATCTCGAAAGCCAATACCACCATTGTGCTTGTGACGGCACAAGGATCTCCGGATGTCCAATTCATGCCTGCATCCCTATCCTGTTGGGCCCACCAAAATCTCGATAAGTGACCATTGAGCCGACGACAGAAAGTAACAGTCATCCGGAAACTTAGCATCGCATAATTCGGCAATGCATTTGTAATGGACTTTAAGGGGACTTCTTTGGCAGCAAGCGAGAGAGCCTTGGATTTCCATTGTTGCAGCCTAGTAATGAGCTTATCTTCGATAAATTGGAAGGTAGCCTGCTTGGATCGAGATATATGGGTTGGCAGCCCAAGGTAGCGGTCGTCTGTGTTACTTTCAGTCATCCCCAACAGATTTAGCATAGCTGCTGCATCAGTAGGAGACGTGTTGCTGCTGAAGGTGACTGATGATTTGTGAAGATTCACCTTTTGGCTGCTAACCTGCTGCTGGTAAGAAGCAAACAAGGCAAGGAGATTATGGCATTCAGGGATAGAAGCTCTTAAGAATAAGTAAGTATCATAAGCAAAAAGAAGATGTGATATCACCGGACATCGCCAATGAATTTTCATGCCATGGAGGAATTGAGCTTGTAACGTCTGTTCAATGAAATGGGAAAACCCTTCAATGTAGAGAGCAAACAGCAATGGAGATAAAGGATCTCCTTGTCGTATGCCTCGTTCAGGATGGAAGAAACCATGGGGAGAACCACTAATTAAGACAGAGAATGAAACAATTGAAACACATTGTTGTATCCAATTCAACCAAACATCACAAAAGTCCAAACGATGTAACAATGAAAATAGGAATTCCCATTCTAGCCTATCATAAGCTTTTTCCATGTCTAGCTTTAAGGCCATCCATTTTTCATGCCCAGAAGTCTTAGTTTTCAGAAAATGCTGAACTTCCTGCCCAATAAGTATGTTATCAGAGATTAATCGACCCTTTATAAATCCATTTTGCGAAGGACTTACTACTCGCGGGAGGATAGAAGCAAGACGAGTTGTCAGGACCTTAGAATCACCTTGTAAGGGACTTGGCATAGTCCGATTGGCTGCATTTGTCTCATGGTATCTTCTTTTGGGACTTTGGGCAGAAGAGTGATCCAAGTGTGGTTAAAGTTAGGCAGAAGGTGTCCTGAAACGAAAAAGTCCTGGACTGCAGCCACAACTAGATCACCTACTAGACCCCAAAAGGATTGGAAGAAAATACCGGTGAAACCATCAGAGCCGGGGGCCTGATAACTACCTATACTGAAAACAGCAGAGCGAATGTCATCTCTAGTAATGGGGGCAGTTAGTATAGCATGCATATCATTAGTAATTAGTACGGGAAGCCTTAGGCAGTCTAAGAAGGACTGGATATTCAAACATTCAGAAGTGAATTGATTGATAAAGTATTGTACAACAAGCATACCTTTTTCTGTCTCTTCGAAATGTTTGACTCCATTGTCATCTTGTAATGTTAGGATCCTGTTTTTCCTTCGCTTCTGCAAGGTAGTAAGATGAAAGAATCTCGAGTTGGAGTCTCCTTCTGTTAGCCAATGCGTCCGGGATTTTTTATACCAATATATCTCCTCTTGGATATAGGCTTCAATGAGTTGTTGTTCCAGTTGGCTGATGGTACCCCAGTCTATAGGGTAGGTTTCCCGGAGGGCAGTGATGGCATCCTGTAGTTCACGAATGGCCCTGGCAGAGTTAGATGTGCCTTTGGAAGCCCAGTGGTACAGCCGATGCCGAGATGTCTTCAACGTATGGTGAAGCTGGAATTGTAATGTTCCACTACAAGATTGCCGCCATTCCGAGTTGAGTATGCCAGCAACTTCGAGGTTATTGATTGAGCGAGAATCAAAGTGGAAGTTGGCCTTCGTACGAGCTGCTGCTGGATGAAGCTCTAACAAAATCGTCAGATCCAAGGTCGGATAGGTGGTGAATTTGCATACCTTCCCAAGTTGTGAGTGCTGATGGAGATGATAGACAACGATCAAGGCGCTCCATGATGTGATCTTGTGGTGATCTGCGCTTCGACCATGTAAAAGGGGGACCAACAAATCCTAAATCCTGTAAGTTATGTTGGACAAGAAAGTTCTGTAACAAAGATAGTGAATAGGGGGTTGGGGGTCGACCACCAACCTTTTCAGATGATGCCAATAGACAATTGAAATCACCCATGAGGAAGAAGGGAGAAGAGAAAGACAAGAGGTAAGTAGAAATGTCGTTTAATTGATCAATCCTATCACTCTCATTACAACTCAAATGGACAAACACGATTGCAAAGCAACCGTACACTTGGTGGACACAATCCACGACTAAGAAGGAAGAACAATGATAAAGAATTGTACAATCTACTTCAGTAGTCCAAACTAAAGTCATGCCTCCTGAAGTGTTTACGGGACTCACGAGAACAGAATTAGGGAAGCCTAGACGAGTAAGACGCGATTTAACCTTCCTATCACGACACTTTGTTTCACTAAGAAAGACAATCATAGGGGATCTACTAAATATGGCATTCAACAGGGATCTACGCGCCAAGGATTTGCCAAACCCTCGGCAGTCCTAGGCCAAGATGCTCATATCTGGGATTGGGACCGAGCAAGGCCGGTTTCCTCTACCTGAATAGTATCAATAGCTGTGGGTTGTACGCCTGCAGTGTCCTCCACGCAAAGAACCTTGGAAGCAGGTGGGATTTCACCCTCCTCCAGCAATCCCCGCTTGCATGGATTTGGATCAGTTGGCGAAGAGGATGAGACCCCAGGCATGGCGAAGAGGATCAGTTGGCGAAGAAGATCAGCTCCGAGAGATAACCGTTGCAGCCCTGAAGTGTTGCGGGCATGTGAATCACCAGCCCTCTCCGTGTCATGACAGTTCCAGGAGAAATGAGCAATCTTCTTGCGCAGAGTGTGCTCATCCACACTAGGACCTTTGTCAAAAGCCAGGATGTGTTTGCCGTAGGGGAGGTCGTTCCCATTCATCGTATCTTTGAGATCGCAGTGAGCACTGGTGTGTCCTAAAACACCACAGCAAAAGCAAAAGAGAGGTAGTTTTTCATAATAGACTGAAACTTTGAATAACCCCTTACTACGATCTTCGTGAGAGGCCGTGACCGAGAGAGGAAGTGGGCGGTTGATATTGATGGACACTTTCGCTCGAAGGTAAACTCCACCCGTTTTGCGGCCAACATGGACAACAGCTTCCTTCAATTTTCCCATTGTAGATCCTAAGCATCGAGCCATTAGCAAGGTGTGGCCTGAAGTAGGGACCTTCCAGAACTGAACCCCCAGAGGGACGTGGGAAAGAGATTCAGCAACCTCAGAAGTTGGGACACACTAGGGGCGCAGATGAATCAAGAAGCGCGATTGAGTCCATGGTGACTTGTCTCGAACGCGGCGGTGATCCGAGGTATCGATGAAGATGAATTGAACGAGGCCCTCGTCCACCGATAGCACCGTGATGGAGCCGCGACAATTCCATAGATCCACAAGAAAATTCTGCAGGCTGCCAAGGGAAGGAGCAGAGACATGAATCTTGCCAAGGAGACTAAGCTCAGCCCTCTCTTCAGCGACAACAACAGCTTCATCATTGTAAACAGAAAATAGTTCAGCAACCATTGGAGGATGATAGGTAGGGTTCGACCCAACAGAGATGAAAAGAGTAAGGGGAAATTGGTGAGTCAATACTTGGGAAACGAGGAGCATCGACGCCTTAAATGGCCGATTGAAGAACCCATGAGGGAGCCAAACCACCCGGAAGCGGAGGCACTTCGCCGGAATTTGCGAGATGGAGGTCGCACGTCGGCGAGGATTGGGGGTGGAAACCGCCCGTCGTGGAATCCTCCAATTAATTCCTCCCCACTCCTCCCTTTAATTCCTTCTTTTATCCCTAAAATCCGGTCCAAAATAATCACATCCCTTGTCCAATTAAATTCCTTTCCAAAGAGAACTGAACCAAATAATTCCGCCATTCCTTGTCCAAGGTGGAAATGAAGAGGGAATGGGCCGCCGGCCCATAAGCTGTTGTTGCCTCTGTCTATATCAACGAATAAGGGTTGGTGAATCGGCCCGTTTGGCTGGAGTGAGGTTAAAATTGAAACTTGTCAATGCCTATGCAAATTCCTGTTGAACTTTGCATAAGTGGCACTAAAAAATAAAAAGTGTACAAACACACCACACACTTGATAATGACACAAAGGTCATTCCATGGTTAATTCGAACCAAATCCCTATCATTTTCATCACACTAAAATCATAATATGGCAATCTAATGCATGCATATGTATGGCACTTATCAGCGAGCATAGTTTGGGGTAGGTTTATAGGTCGACGACAAAGAAAGAATCAGCCGATCGAATATGAGGAAATGATTTTTGTTTGGTTGTTAGTTTTGTTGGTAGCGAGCAGAGGAAGAAGGCGAAATAGAAGATGAATGGTCAGTTATGGTTGCTTTCTTGCGGCTTGAAGTTGCCGCCTCCTGCAGTTCGCGTAATTGATGGGTTTTTGTAAAGGAACCGGTGGCAGGGTAGTGCAGGTGTTAGACAATGAGGAATTAGGGATTCAACTTGGTTCTAGTTTGGAGCGTCAGAGTAGGACGGAATAAAGTGGGTGATCGGCAGCGAGGGCACATCAGGTTAGGAGTGGGGATGGGATTAGGTGCTAACCCTTATAGGGGTTAGCACCGTGATAACTAGCAAAAAACGCTACTAAAAATAACGAAATCACTACGGAATCTAAACTAAATCACTACTAATTCAAACTAGTAGTAGTTTTTCCCTTGGTTAGGACGGTGCTAACTATTGTACAATTAGCACCGTAACTCCTCCCTTAGGAGTGGTGTTGAAGACGCAACAGGATTAGGGATGTCAATGGGTCGGGTTGGGTTTTGCCAAACCCAAGCCCATGGGTTTATCCGTGAAAAAACCCGGGGTAAAACACACTAGGTTTGAAAAACTCAAACCCAACCCAACTCGCTGGGTATCCGCGGGTTCATGGGTGCCCACGGGTTTTTGTCGTAAAAAAATTACAATAACAAGTTCCTATCAAAATTAAAGTCAAATATCAATCTCTCAATATAAATTATCCATATATAAAACACCATTCTAGAAAATTCAAGCAAATTACAAATTAACTATACAAATTGTTCAACACCAATCTAGAAAACTCAAGAAAGTTGAAGCAAATCACAAATTATCCATAAATAACATGATTAATTGAAAGTTTCTTCCTTTCAATTAAGTTTCTTCACTCTCCACTCGATAACATGATTATCCATAAATAACATGATTAATTGTCATCCCTAAATGGGATGGGGGAATGATTTTTTATTTTTTAAAATTATAATTTTTTTTATAATGATGCAAAATTTCTAAAAGAATAAATTTTATTTTTTAATTGTCACGTCACTGATTTAATGGTCAATTCCCAAAGTTGACTGCCATTTCAGAAAAAGTTAACGGAGAGTTACCAAACTTGAACTGTTGAACTAATTTGAGTGACTATATATGAAATAAAGTAATTTGAGTGGCAAACATGAACTTTTTAAATAATTTCAGGGGTTAATACCTTATTTTAACCTGAACTATGACCATATAATCAACTTTGTTCTGGTAGCGGAATGGAATGATTCATTCTGAGGAAAGGCGGGCGAAGGGCTGGTAGTATCTATTGATGACTGTCAGCAGTGTCCGGGTCTCTCATTGCCAAGGCTTTCAATTTAACGCAGTTCAGCAACTGAATTCCCTTATGCTTATTCTCCAACTTCTGCCGCAGCTCCTCTCTCGACCTACTTCTCCTCCAATCCAATTAGTCCTCGGACCTTCAATTCTGTAACTTTCGCCAGCATAGATGATGCCTTGGATTCATTTAATAGGATGCTCCGCATGAACCCTAGACCCTCAATTGTGAAATTTTCTCAGTTGGTAAATTCTCTTATGAGAATGAACGCCTTCGAGGCTGCCTTGTATGCGTCTAAACAAATGGAAGTAGTTGGGTTCCACCATGATCTTCACACGCTGAGCATGTTTCTTCGTTGCTTCTGTAAATTGGGTCGAGTGGATTTTGGCTACTCAGTTTTGAGCAAATCTTTGAAACTCGGTATTCAATTCGATGATGTAATGCTCAGTACACTGATTGATGGGCTCTGTAAAGTTGGGAGAGTAATCGAGGCTGCAAGGTTGGTTCATAAGATTAGGATTTTGGGTTATCATCCGGATGCTTTTTCTTATACCACAATTATAGATGGATTATGCAACGTAGGGCAAACGAGTGCAGGACTTGAATTGCTCAAAAACATGAAGGAGTTTGGCTGTCAACCTGATGTCGTTAGTTATAACACAGTCATTAGCAGCCTATGTAAGGATGGGATGGTATCAAAGGCTTTTGATGTTTTTTCAGAGATGAAGGATAAAAAGATTCAACCAGATGTGTTCATTTACAATAGATTGATTGCTGGTTTGTGCATTTCAAGCACAATCAATGAAGCTATGAAGTTACTCAATGAAATGGTAGAGAGGAAGATCATGCCCGATACAGTTAGCTATTCCACATTGGTTGATGCTTTTTGCAAGGAAGGAAATGTTTTGGGAGCTAAAGTTATACTCAAAGTGATGATTCAAAGAGGATTTCTTCCGAATGTTATTACTTACAGTTCATTGATGGATGGGTATTGTTTGCGCAATGAATTAGATAAAGCTAGAAAGGTATTTGATTTCATTATCAATAGGCGATGCAAACCTACCGCTTACTGTTACAATATCATGATTCATGGATATTGTAAAAATGAAATGATGGCTGAAGCAGAACAGTTATTGAATAGTATGCTTGAGAAGGATTTGGCTCCGAATACAGTCACGTATACTACTATGCTAAATGGATTTTGTCAAGCAGGGAGGCTTAAAGATGCACAAAAAATTCTCAAGAAAATGAGTGGTCAGGGTTGTTCCCCGGATAATGTGACATACAATAGCTTGCTTGGTTACTTGTGTAGACAAGGTCAACTTGACGGTGCATTAGCTCTATTTCAAGTAATAGAAAATAGTAGGTTGAAGTCTGATATTACAGGGTACAGTATCCTTATGGACGGGCTGTGGAAAGCGGGGAGGGAAAAGGAAGCTAGGGAAATGTTTTCTAGGCTCTCTAGAGACAAGTTTTTGCAACCTAATACCCGCGCATATACCATTACAGTTGATGGACTATGCAGACAAGGTTTTGTCGATGAAGCATATGATCTGTTCAGGAAAATGGAGGGGGATAGTTGTCTACCAGATAGTTGCTCTTACAACGTGATTATTCATGGATTTCTTCGCCATAAGGATCCCCTTGAAGCAATAGACCTCATTCATGAGATGGTTTCGAAAGGTTTCTCAGCCGATGCAACCACCATGTCTTTGCTAATAGAATTGTTGCCCAAGAATCAGTTGGATCATCCAATATGCCAGAAGCTATTGAATGGTCCTGATATCAAGAGTCATAAAATAGGGTCTAGTGGTCTATTAGTTGCTGCAACTCAAGGAACTAGCTGAAATTCTCATCCAAAGGCCAGTTGCATGATCCTGTAATTGATCAAAATCTCTCGGCTTGGAGAAGATTCTGATGATAGAAGATAGCTGGAACTAACGGTCCGATTCATGATCCTTGTCATCCCACTTACATATTCTGTCTGCTGTACAAACGAGCTCCGATCCCTGTACGTTTCTGTTCATTTGAAGGTTGATTACTATCTCATTCAGATGAGTGAAGTCCAAAATTGGGTGACCAAAGCATTGCTTCTTCTTGACAAAAGCAGAACCCTAGAGTTCCCTTCAAGGCTTTGGCCTTTGTCGCAAATACGTAGTTATGTTGCTAGACAAGCGAGCTTCATATCTCTAAACAATAATCACAACTAGCTTAAAACACACTAATGCATCAAACATGGATTATCATCTATTCCCATGCCAACATTGATCGGTTCTTTCTGATATATCAGCAAGTATGGAAACAAACAGGGCCGGTCCATGATATTCAGAGGCCCTGTTCGAAAATTAAAATGTGGCCTTTTTTCTCTCATAAGTTTATTAAAAATAAAAATTATTAAATAAATAATAAAATACATAAGTTTAAAAAATGATTACAAAATAAGTAATATTATTTATCATTTTGAAAAAAGTAACAATCGTCTAGTATTATTTGAAATAAAATACTCTATTAACTCTTCCATCTTTGCATCATCCAAGAAGTTATTCTCAATTGTGAACATCGCTAATCCGTTAAGTCTATCTTCTATCATTGTAAAGCGCAAATAAAACCTCAACAACTTCAACTTTGAAAAGCTTCTTTCAAAATCATCAACAAAATTAATTTGATCCACCATATCAAAATTTGAAGTTTTAAAACAATCAACAAAACAAAGAAGAATACTAATTGCCTGTCAGATGATAATTCCTTCTTACCGTTTACATAAGACATAAAAAAGATTCATTTTTACCATTGATGTCCCATGAAAAGCTTTTCTCAATGATCAAGTGTAGGCCCATCATTTAGTTGGTGCTAGTAACTTTGTTTGCCAAGCAATTTTAGCAAAGAATGATCTTACCTGAAGGCCCGTTTAAGCTATAGATTAATTAGAGGCCCATAATTAATTTAAAGGGAGTCATTTTGTTTTCAAAGCAATTTGGGAAAACATATTATTTATCTTGAATCCCGTTTAAAATATGAATTAATTAGAGGCTCATCATTTAGTTCAAACAGCTCACTTTGTTTTCTAACGTCAAGACTCAAGAGTCAAGACACATTACTTATTTGTGGGCCTATTAACAGCCTAGAAAATACTTCCACCGAGGCCCTGTGCTGGCGGGCCTACCAGCACAGGCCCATGGCCGGGCCTGGAAACAAATATAAGTGGGATCATGACTCGGACCTCTAGTTCGTATAACCTTCTATCATCAGAATGTTCTCGACACAGAGATTTTGATCAACTACTGGACCATCCAACTGGTGTTTGGATGAGAATTTCAGCAAGTTCCTTGAGTAGCAGCAGCTGATAGACCGCCAGACCCAATGTTATGACTCCTGATATCAGGACCACTCATAAGCTTCTGGAAAATTGGATGATCCAACTGATTCTTGGGCAACAATTCTATTAGCAATGTCATCGTGGTTGCGTCGGCTGAGAAGCCTTTCGAAACCATCTTGTGAATGAGGTCGATTGCTTCAAGAGGATCCTTATGTCGAAGAAATCCATGAATAATCACGTTATAACAGCCACTATTTGGTAGACAATTGCTATGCTATATATGCGGGTATTAAGTTGCAAACAATTGTCCCTAGAGAGCTTAGAAAACATTTCCCTTGCCTCATCTCCCCTCCCTGCTTTCCACAATCCATCCAAAAGTATATTGTACCCCACAACATCAGACTTCAACCTACTTTCTATTACTTGAAACAAAACTAATGCGTCGTCAATTTTACCTCGTCGGCACAAGCCATCAAGCAAACTATTGTATGTCACAATATTAGGTAAGCAACCTGGACCACTCATTTTCTTGAGAATTTGTTGTGCGTCTTTGAGCCTTCCTGCTCGACAAAATCCATTTATCATAGTATTATATGTGATTGTATCCGGAACCAAATCCTTCTCAAGCATACTATTCAATAACTGTTCTGCTTCAGCCATCATTTCATTTTTACAATATCCATGAATCATGATATTGTAACAGTAAGCGGTAGGTTTGCATCGCCTATTGATAATGAAATCAAATACCTTTCTAGCTTTATCTAATTCATTGCGCAAACAATACCCATCCATCAATGACCTGTAAGTGACGATATCCGGAAGCAATCCACCTTGAATCATCATTTTGAGTATAACTTTAGCTCCCAAAACATTTCCTTCCTTACAGAAAGCATCAACCAATATGTTATAGGTGAATTTATCACGCGTTATCTTCCTATCTACCATTTTATTGAACTACTCCATAGCTTCATTGATTCCGCTTGAAATGCACAAACCATAAATCAAGCTATTGTAACTGAACACATCTGGTTGAATCTTCTCATCCTTCATCTCGGAAAAAACATCAAAAGCCTTCGATACCATTCCATCCTTACATAGGCTGCTAATGACTGTGTTATAACTAACCACATCAGGTTGACAGCCAAACTCCTTCATGTTTTGAACCAACCTTGCAGCCTCGATTACTTTCCCAACTTTACAGAGCCCGTCAATCAATGTATTGAGCATCACATCATCGAATTGAATACCGAATTTCAGAGCTTTGCTGAAAACTGCATAACCAAAACCTACTCGACCCAATTTACAGAAACAACGAAGCAACATGCTAAGCGTGTAACGATTGTGTGGGACTCCAGCTAATTCCATTTGTCTAGACGCATAGAAGGCAGCCTGGAAGGCGTTCATTCTCATAAGAGAACTTACCAACTGACCAAATTTCACAACCGAAGGTCTGGGGTTCATGTGGAGCATCCTACTAAATGAATCCAAGGCATCGTCTACGCTGGCGAAAGTTACAGAATTGGAGGTCGCAGGAGTAGTTGAATTGGAGGCGAAGTAAGACGAGGGAGTAGCAGTCATACCGGTTTTCCTTCGCTGATGAAATAGAGAGCAGTTTCGATGCTGAATTGCGTTGAATTGAAAGCATTGGCAACGAGAGACCCTGACAACCATCAATAGATACTACCAGCTCTTTGCCCACCTTTCCCCGGAATGAATGATCCTATCATCCAAATCAATTTCCACCGCGAACCCAGAATGAAAGCTGCAAACTTGACATCGAATCGGCGACCCAACCAGAGAACAGGACTGAAAACGCAAACCACTGTGTAGCCGTCGGCGACGCGGAGCGCAAGAAGGTCGAGACTTGGTGAAACACTCGGCCAACGGTTCAGTTAGTTGCTGGATTGACATTGGATTTCCAGCATCGAACTTCGCTTTGGGCCCAGATTATTTGTGACACCGGATGGCTTCGGGCTTTTAATATTGGACTCTTATATATTCGGGTTTGCTATTTTCTTCTCTCACATCATATTCACGTAATTTGGCTTTTCCATTAAATGTGTTAGCGTCTAAATAAGGGTAGATTTGCATATCATAACAGTCATCCGCTCGGATAAACAAGAAAGACAACAATCAACAAGAATCTAAAGAATGCAGAGATTTACGTGGTTTACTAACACAACGTGCGTTAGCTAGTTCACGGATGGAAGAGAGCCAGCTTCACTATATATACTTGACGTGATTAGAAATTACAGAGGAGTATTAAAAGTATATATATATAGTACTTCTCGAATAACCTAACCCTAATCCAATCTGGTAAAAGAATAATATTACACAAACCAGATCGTGTAAGTTCCGGTTTACGATTGAACATCCAATTCAAGTCACATCTAAAATGAATAAACTTGGTACAACAACGGCGAGAAAGGACAAACACCAACAAACAACCGAGAACAGCGTCTAGCACCAACTTCCAATGCCACGGCCCCGCCGCTTCCAATGCCTTCGGATGCGCCATCGAACGTGCAGGTTGACGTGCTGAGCTTGCCCGGGAAGCAGCTGTACGATGCGTACCAACAGGGTAACTACGATGCCTGCACCGTGGGAACAGTTTCCGGGATAGCATTCTCCGTCTACGGTGGTTGCATATACGGGCTCGACAGCATTCGCTGCCAAAATAAAAGTCTTGTATTTTGGGAATTTAAAATGAGGAAGGCAGGAGTACGTGGTTCGAAACAAATAATTTGATGACATCATCCCACTACAGAGGAAGAAGTCTTCTATATTCTATTCGACGATGCCGTCAAGTCCGTCTTCTCGACTTGATGAACGGATTAATGATTGATGGACGGGCACATATCATGATACTATCATTAAACGTAGTAGTATGATGTGCAATAAGTCTTACCATAATGGTTAAATCATGATATAACAGATATAATAGTGAGAATAGGTAATGTTTTTCTCAAAACTTAGCAAAATGGATATCATTATGTATATCATAGTTAATGCTTCATTTCTATGCAATTTTTTTTTAATTTCTTGCTAAAAATGAAGGAGATATGACCAGATTAAGAAAAAAACGAGAGATTAGAAAAAGCTGTTAGCTTAAAAAAGAGAGAAATTACCTTCATACCCCTAAGAGTTAGTGTGTACATATTGGGCCGTTAGATATGATTAAAACGACTACTTTAATTCTTCTAACACTTAAACACGCTTTGTCGACGCTTAGACGAGCCAGACACTGAATGAAATCCCCACACCCACGTTACGCCGCTTATCACCTTCTTGAACCTTGCCTGCTTATAGTACATTTAAAACAAACTAGTTTTTTTGGCCCGTGCTTCGCAGTGTTAACAAGCTGATTATAAATTAAAATTTTATTAACTTATTCAGTGATGTAGTATAGGAGTGAATGTGAAGCGAGTATGGATAGTAGTAAAAAACATTAGGACATAGACATCCAAACGCATCCTCACCACCCATCCCATTCCTACTCAATAATCAATACAAAAAAAAATCTCATCGATTTAACTCAAAAAGATTGAATACTCATACCCTAGAGCTAAAAAGATTGAATTCTCATCGATTTAACTCAATAATACACAATAATTTTCACTGAATTCTAATTTTCCAATAATCTCATTGTAGCTATTAGACTAACTCCAACCTTAGAGCTAAAAAGTCATTTACACATTTTTAGCTCTTTTTTGTTGCTCCATCACACATAATTTTGGGAGCTAAAAATGAGTATTAAAGAATTGGGAGCCAAATTTAGCTTCCAATTGGATGGAAAAGCCAAAGTTGGCTGGAGTGGTGGACCCGTTGCTGGGGCGAGCCACACACCGCGTTAAGGGAGTGGGCCGCACACACGCTTCTGTAAGGCTCTCATATTGGTTTTGTTTTTCTTTTTGGTTTTTTGTGTGGTATTTTGTCATTGGTTGATTGTGTATGTTGTCTATTTAATTGTTTGAAAGAAGATATGTAATGTTGTATGTTTAATTGGTATTTTCTCGTTAGTCCCGAAGTTAACGGTAACAAATTAACGACTAATTTTGCGGAAAAAAAATTTTGTCTCGAAATTTAGAAAAAATTACGTCCACAATTTTTTTTTTCAAAAGTAATAACGAACTATAAAAAAAAATTACAGTGAAATATAAAAATTAGAGGTCGAATAAGTATGGTTTATTGAAATTGAAAAATAGGGCTGGGAATCTAAATTTAGCTTTTTGTATGGTTGGAGTGAAAATGGGGTTTGGGGAGCTAAAAAGCCAAATTTGGCTATTTGGGGAGCCAAAATTTGCTTTATGGTTGAAATTAATCTTAGCATCCTGTTTTAAGCTTTTTGTGCCCTCACTCCTCGAATCAGCATGCCCTCCGGACATCAAGCCATTACATCTCCCAATCACCCTAGTAGTGGCGTAGCAAAGATTTCATTTAAGGTGGGTTCACTTAAGAATAAAAATACACATGACAAAATAGTTTTTTTCAACTTTTCTAATAATTCATGATATAATCTTATATTGAAAATTTTTAGTAAATTAAAATACGTTGTAGTCAAAACTATCAATAATATTACTATATGTACAAAACAGTTATTAATGATTTAGTTAGTCGTTCTCTATCTAATGATGTTCTTTGTCAAGAGCCGTTAGTATCAATAACTCAATTTGTCGAGAAAAGTTTAATAATGAATCTTACACCAAACAATGATTCATAATTTTGTTAATTAATCGTTCGCTTTCGAATGATATTCTATCGTCAAAAACCATTTAATATCAATAAGTCGAGTTGTTGCGATTCAATAATATGTCTTATATAATTTATTAGCACACTCCCTTCATTTGCTTAAGATATGAGGTCGCTCAGTTCCGAACACAAGATCTTTCAATATACTATTCTCAATTAAATGTCCCATAATTATCAATATCAATTAACTATTGTACATAATTTAACCATTTTTCTTCAGAACCCGAATCCACCCTCTTATACATTCTCCCTCCGCCGCTGACCCTAGTGATGGGTGAAACGTACGGGAATAGGTAGAAGTAGGGCTGCATATGAGCCGAGCTGCTCGCGAGCGACTTGACGTTCGACTCGAGAAAAGCTCGTTCGAAACTCGACTCGTTAATAAACGAGCCGAACACGAGCTCACCTTTGTTCAGCTCGTGAAGCTCGCGAGGTAGCTCGACTCGGTGGCTTGTTGAGCTAAACTCGTGAGCTGGCTCGTTTAGAGCTCATGATATGTCTTGACATGTGGCTAGAGAGCCAACTCGATTACCAACTTATGGACGAATCAATCTATATCTTATGATTTTAATTCATATGGTTGTTGAATTATATATCTCACCATATATAAAGTTTAACCCGTTGAGTTTGTGAGCAATATATCTTATTTTCTACTTTAAAAAGAAATTATGCTTCATAAATTGCTTCGATACTATGAAATAACATGATTTGGAGTAGTTAAAATTTATTAACTAAATGATATGTGATACCAACAAAGTATAATATGAGATTAGTTAACAAAATAAATCATATGTATTATAATATACAAAATGAAGTTTCAAATAAAAGTTAAGATTTTAATAAACAAGCTAGCTCGCGCTCTACTCGACTCAGCTCGTTAATAAAATGAGCTGAGCTCGAGCTCGACTCGTTTATGAACGAGCTGAGCTCGAGCTCGACTCGTTTATTAACGAGCCGAGCTCAAACTGGGGTAAAACTCGACTCGACTCGGCTCATTTGCAGCCCTAGGTAGAAGAGTGAGAAACAAGTCATAAAGCACAACTACCTCTGGCACACACAAATATGCGGAAGCCAGATTTGTATTGAACAAAATCCTCCTCAAACCGAGAGGGAGAGGGCAGAAACCATCTCGGAAGAGTTTAGAACAATAAATCCACAAGGGATCGGAAAAAAGCACAACGCAATACAAAATATTTTTCTCATTGATTTAGCTCAAGACTCAAGAGGATCAAATACTCACGATTACCTGTTAGAGTAGTAGACAATAAAAAGCAAAATATCACATTGGTTGGAGAAGGAAAGTGTAACTGCAAGTGGTTTATAGCCTAACTTGCTTATTTATTTTGTTGAGTAAAGTAATAAGTGAGTTTTGGAAACAATGTGAAATTTAATTTGATTTACTAATTTGATGTTTGCGCGCCATTGGATTTGAAATGACACAACTCTTCCGAAGGGAACTGTTGACAAAAACAACAGTGGAAAGAAGAACATGTCACGTAACTCTTACCTATATTTGTTGGCAACCAAACCCTCAGTCTTTCCGCTCCACTATCCCGTCCCATGCTTCTCAACGTCTATCGCCATTGCTGATGTCGCGGCCAAACCGCCTACGGCAGTTTGCGGCTTGCATTGCAAGATCTCGAAAAGTTATTCGGATTCAAAAAAAAATTGCTACGATCGGATACCCGAGTGCAAAGTTACGTTCGTTTGAAGTTTCGGCCGAAGTTAGGAGTTGATAAAAAAAAAATGGACCAAACCGCTGGGTGGGGTGGCGGTTTGGCCCAAAACCGCCGCCCCACCCAGCGGTTTTTATAGGTTTTTATAACCGCCCCTTAGCCCAGCGGTTTGCATAGAAAACCGCATCCCCGCTCAGCGGTTTTCGTGTAAACCACAGGGTGGGGTGGCGGTTTTTGAAAAAGGTGGTATTTTTGGAATTTTTGGGGTTGGGTGGTATTTTTGGATTTTTTTTTTAACAGTGGTACTTTTGGATTTAATAGATTTGTGTTTTGCATCAGGAGGTTTCTGGTTTGTTTTTGTGGTTTCTTTTATCATGGTTATAGTTTGCATTATGAGGTTTCTGGTGTGCTTTCGCAAATATTGTGGTTTGCTTTGTGAGGTTTGTAGTTTGTCTTAGGGGATTTTTGGTATGCATTAGGAGGTTTCGGGTTTGCTCTTTTGTGGTTTTTTTATCATGTTTGCGGTCTGCATTAGGAGG